TGAGAGGAAGGACATATCTGAACGGCATCCCCTCAACATCGGCATTGGCCCCTCCTGATGTGAACAATGAGACGCCTCCACCGTATCCCGGCGATTGTGGTATGGATCGAGTATGCCAGATTTATTGATTCAGAGCTAAAATGAGATTTAGGGGAGCATATGCTGCTCAATTACATGGAGTCTGTCAAAGGTGTTGATGGTACTGTTGTGGATAAGATGAGTCTAGAGGTAGAGTGAGTAATTGATTTTGCAAAAATGACCCTGGTAGTGGTAACTAAGCCTGGAGAGGTTGACTTTATATTAGCCTCTAATTCAAAAAAGTTTTTTTTTTAAATTGTTGAACCCTTTAAAAGGCCCCTTACTGTTGCATTTGCAGCCATTCGTTCCACGATATCCATTCTACCCTCTATTGCCTCGATCCAATCAAAACGGCGACGGCGGTGACTCATAGGACCGCTCCTATGTAGTCTCTTGTTGGTATGCCGGACATACCCGTGTACTCATGTGATCATTTACTCAGGATATTTTTTAAAAAATAAAAGCATTAACAGTCATTTAAAGAGTTATTCATTTGTGTTTTGTCAGAGTTAGTTTGGACTCAGCTTACTAGGAAAGGACTATCTATCTTAAGTTAGCCTATTAGCTTTTGGCCTAGGTTTGCTTACGAACGAGCTCTCGATTGCATTAATTTCAATAGTCAACCTGAATTAGTGATTGGCATTATTCCAGTGCTAACTGGACATATATGATCCATTGAAGGATCGCTTCCGAGCAAATCGTCCAAGCGAGCGGTTGTTAGCAAAGAAGCACGATAATTGGCGGCTATAGCCTATCAGTCAATCAGCTACTTTATTGCTTACAAATCGCTCATGTTGGGAAGTGCCTAGGTAGAATTCTGTTCTGAGATTTGGCTAATATGCACTAATAGTCAATTTTTATGGGTTACTATATGGTAGTTTAATAGTTTTCTTTTTTCGTTCCTATCCTTAGAGTGAGATCCTTAAGTTAGGTAGGTTAGCTAATTATTTGATAAGAGAAGCTATTTAAACATTATTATCCTGAGCCAAGAAATGGTTGGAACTGCTTGCAAATGGTATATTGGCGATTTTATTTCTCGTTTAGTCGTCTGATTTTTGTTTAGCTTGAAAAATCTCTGATTTCATACCAACAGCTGTTTTCAAGTTTAATTTAGCAGTAAGCTGTGCTAGATATCTCTCAAATGACCTTCATTGCCTTACTTTCGTGCTGCCAAGTTGGACTACGAAAATTTTCGTATTTTCTTCGTCTTGGTTTATCTTGAATATTTCTAAACATAGAGCTAAACGGCATTGACTAGATGACCTAGAATGAATGAACGTGAGGCACATAGTATGAAAAACCAAAAAGTTAGCTAATTTTGCAACCATACAGCCTCTTATGTTTGATATGGGACTCCAAGAGGTGCTGCTGCTGTTGGGATGCGTTCAAGGTCATTGCTGGGAAAAGTTTGTTCAGCCGATTCCGGAAGTTCTTCGTCATCTGCTATTGTTATGGATTCACCAGTATGCTGAACAGGCTCTTCGTGACCAACTGCTGCTGTAGAATCATACGCTAAAAGTTTCTACAAAGCATCAAATAAGGTGTCAACGAGAAGTGCAAATTTACGTGATGTATCTGCTTTGTTTTCCACTCCACTACGAGGGGAATCTGCTGCAGGCGTGGCTGCGTCCATTGGTGGACTAATAGGCAGAATGGCACAGTTTGGCACTTGCGTTGTGCCTATGGCCACTTTGATGTATTTTCTAATTTCCTGACCTGAGTTGGTTTTGAGGGAGATCTGAACAGATCATTCACGACTTGCTCGTACTGTTAACATGCCGCAGTTTACTCACTTCCAAATAATACTTGAAGCTTATCAAGCGAGATTTGAACGAAGGTATTGCAGACATTGGTACTTTGATGCAAAATTGTACGAAACCTCTGTGATTTGATTGTATGGAAAGTTCCTGAAAAGATTAGAACCAAAATATATAGGATTTTTCTATAGTGTGCATATTTGTAGCACAGCGTTTGCTCAGTTATGGAAGAAAATGTGCCTTGACGAAGAAGCTCTTCCCTTACTGGCTGTTTCTAAGTCATAGAAACTCCAGTATATAAGCATGGGCTTGTGTATTTTCCAGGCGGGGAGATTAATTTTTAGAAGGAATAGCCTTGGCGGAGATGAATCAGGTGGGGACCAAGTGTCCTAGGTCTTTCAGAAATTTGATTAGTTTTTACCTTAGTTGTTTATATCCCAGATATTGATTTTAACTTATTCAGCATTTAAAGCCGAAAAGGGTGTTGATTCGATCAACTTAATGCTTTTGCATGTTCTAGATGAGCAAAGTAAATTCCTTCTTTTACGGTGTTCAGTAGTCTTTCATCCAAAATATGACGAAATACAGGAATTTACGCATATGACATCAATAAAGATACATAAGTGTTTTCGCATGTGCATGTCCCAGCATTGTTTCTATCCGTTCTCTCTCGCTAGCATTTCACGATGTTGGTACCGGCGAGGGCGACGTTCGCGTGGTCTAGATCCATTAGTCATTATCAGCTGAGAATTCAGCTGGTCTGTGCCAGGAACACGTCAGCTCGTCTGGTCGGTGGCCTCTTTCGAGAACATTTCGCTTCCGAGTGGTCCATCCCAGAATTAGTAGTGTCCATCTGTCATCTAACCTTCTCATTATAGGGCCCCCTCGATTTTCCTTTAGAAATGTAGTTCTCTGGATTGCGATCTTTTGTACGTTGTACGTCAGAAGACGTCATTCCAGCGCGTGGGTTGTTTGGAGCCTTTGGCGTAGACAAAGAAGGCCATACTTTTGACGCATAACAGAGCGCTGCGAGAACGATAGAATCAAAAGGGTGGGCTCGGAGCCCTGGGTGCATAGCGATCTGTGGTTTTTTTGGGGGCCCAAAAGCGGCCCAAGCTGTTCTTTGCCTCCTGTTTAACTCTCCTTTCAGTTGTTCTCCATGTTCATCGAACGCCCGAGGTAGACGCAAAGCAAGTGGAGAGCCTTCATTTCCATTTTTTGATCTTAGAGTGTCCTTCATGTACTGCGTGTTTCCTCGATTGTTAATACCTTCTTCCCTACTTTCAATTCTTTCAAATCATCTTCGTCAGTGATAATCCTCGAGAAGATAACAACGTCGTGCAAAACGAAGAAGGAATCCCTCATCAGTATAACTCTCTCGATCCAATCCAGGATTTCATCACTCACTGCAAAGCGGCAGTAAACAGCTATGGCGACATTGTGTCACCTTGTCGAACCCCATTCGACATGCTAAGAGGGCGATGGAAAAGCTGTATTGTTGTAGAGCAGTTCTCATAGCATCAATGCCCTCACATAAGATGAGTCCACCTCTTTGTCGGCCCTGCCAATATGGCATTAGTTGCGACGCTGTCAACGCTTTCTCATAGTGAGGTCGATACTCTCGCAAACTTCGATAGTCCTTGAAACCATTTGGATATGACCCAGGCAGCTGAATCCCTTACCAAGTCTAGCTTGTTTTGCAGGTTGGGCTGCACCAGTGTCCTTGATATGCG